AATGCCGTCTGGCACATAATGAAACAGGAACTTTGAAGTGTCACTTCGGAAAAAATAGCAAGCAACTATTGACAAAAGAAAAGGGCTTTGGACCCTCGTTTTTAATATTATAAATGACCAATATTAAGATATTGAGTACAGCAGTATTGTATTCCTGGTGGTGTGCCTTTAAGGCATCCTGAGGAACTGCTGCGTCATTCCAGCCAGACAATAGCAGCCAAGGAAAACATGTTTTCAGAACAGATAATTACTTTAACTAGTCTAATACATACATGTCTAACATTAGGGCCATTATTTGTGTGCCAATAGTCACATTTGGCTTCAGTAGCAATTGGTATGATGTAAGAAAATTAAATTACGGAACACTGCAACCTACTGTTCCCGTTCTTTTCAGTTTTTATTTTTAGGACATGTTTGAGAAGGGAATGATATTTTACCTTTAAATTCTAAGGGATTTAATTATAGACTGTAAAACCCTAGAGGGAAAAACAACTAGTGCACAGTCTGCATGACTGTACTGTAGTGCATTTCTGTAATATTAAACATGCAGTATGCCATTTTCTAAAACTAGTTTAGACTCTTGTATGTAGACATTGTATGACAATGCACAAATTAAGATTTTATTGTAATCTGAGCTGTGCGACATCTGGACAATTTTGATGAGGCAGACACAAGTGTCAAACCAACGAACATCAATGTCACTGATGTCATGATGAATTAATCAGCGCAATGGGCCAACAAATGCCCAATAAAATTTCTATAGGCTTCTTTTTCACGTCATATTATAATTTATGAACACCCAAATGTGTCTGGTATAAGGTAACAAGTGACACTTAAATTGCCAGCTGAAGGCCCTTCTTGTTGCCAATGGCAACTGCAGAGTCAGACTGCAGAAGGTCAATATGGGGGATAGAGACAACGCCAGCATGTCCCTTCTTTGCATACACATAATATATTTCATATTCTTCAAACTGCATGAGCATTATGAGTAACATAGATTATGATAAATTATCACAGCATAATAGTGAATAAAATGCATAACATACTGAAACACATCTTATGTGTTTGGTTGGTATACGTAGCTAGGAAATCGTCTTAAACCGGTTAAAACTAGCAAACCACCATAGGCTGCATCATACCATCTGTTTTAGTAATCAGGGTATGTGCATGAAATGACTATAAAAGCCAAGCGAAGTTCAGTATTTGCTCATGATTTTCAGATCTTAGTCATGTTCGCCACTGCAGCATCGAAACACGACTCCAGTCACGTACATGAGGGAGACAATCTGCCATGATTCTCACCGTGTCAACTGTGTCCTGTCCAAATTTACATTAAAATACATGTGTATAAGCGCTGGCATATTTATATTCTCGTATAATGCATTCACAAAGCCACTATTATTCAACGACATGTTGATTAATCGCAAGGCGTTATATCACATTTGACCTTGACGGCTCATGTAACCTCCATGATGCGAGTGATGTCCTTTGGGTCGGACATCATTTCTGTTTATCTGCTTTTAAATGCATTAGAGCGCAAACAATTACTTTTAATGTTAAAAAGGGGGGACTGCGTTTCCATCTTCATTAACGTTACTTATTTGTCAATATCAGTAAGTTGACTAAATAAAACTAACTCGCGACTCAAATAATGTCTACAAAAAAATGCGCTCGCACGACACAGTCGCATTTCGAGAAGAAAAAACACATCAAATTCATTTTCCTCCCCCTATTTCGCAGCATCTTTAGCAGATGGTACATTCTGGAATGATATGACGCAATGAGACCACCGCGAGAGCAGGGCACTGACCAGTCTATGGCAGTGACGCTGCTTCATTCTTCAACATTTATTTGCCACAAAAGATGCTAAAATTTCATATGAATTACATTTGTTGTTTATGTTTTGTAATAAAACTCTGGAATATGTGTATAATGTCGGATAAAATGGATGAATGAACCACGCCTCCGGCCACACTATATTCGTGCATCACGCAGAAACTGAAACGATTATATAACCGGTTTCGCAAAAGCCCAAACGCAGTAAACAACATACTGAAAAGCTAAACGTCATCTTGAAAAAGTTTAGCAAGTGTAAGGCATTTCACAATTAAATAATTCGACCCAATAATGATGTAGACCATGAGGAAGAACTCACCTCCTTTAGTGATGCTGCTGCGGCTTCTGCTCAGTTTCCGCGTAATGCCGCACCTTTTTATACCAGACACGTGCCACCGGGGCTGGTCGCTATGGCAACCTGACGTCATATCGTGTTCGTATAATAATTTTAAAGATACGTATAAGAGCTATATCTATCACGAAGACTGGGTAAGACGATACTATACAAGGACATAGAGTAGATACTTAGCCTAGCATGCCTGAAACATGCGCACTTCGCAGATGTATAGATCTGATAGACTTCCAAAATGCGAAATAAAACGGTAAAAAAAAAAAAATGCATGCTCCATGCAGAATTGTATTGACAATAACACTATTTAATTGACGTTTTCCCCTCTGAAAGGTGAATTCGGACAGTTAAGGAAAGACAGCGCGTCATTATAAAGATGCAGTTTTAAAAGGTCATAAGACATTATGCGCAATAATAGGCTAATAACTAGGCTACTTGTCAAATAACTTGTTGGTTCGTGCTTTCAAAGCATTGCTAAATTAATACGTTCATGTTTGGTTTAATCATTCTTATATATTTTGAAAACTTTTAGATACTAAGGATAGATAGATAGATAGATAGATAGATAGATAGATAGATAGATAGATAGATAGATAGATAGATAGATAGATTTAACTATCCAAAATTTTTTTAAAAAAACGTGCTCAAATGGCATGCATTTAATATTAATTTGTTCAACATAAATCTCATTGCCTCCTATTTGATATTATGGTGAATGTCCAAGTCTCAATGAAAAGTCAGAAATGAGCTTGCATGAATGTAACGTCAGGATGAGGAAAGAGTGGAATTCCGCACGCACGCCACGCAGCAGCACGTGACCTTGACAGTGGCGAGGCGGATGCAGATGCAGATACGTGAGAGTCGGCGCGTTGGTGCTGCAGAGAGAGGGACGGTGGGCGGGGTGTCCATAAAACTGAAAAATATCAAATTAGCATACAAACGTATCAAAAATTGGTGACCCATATTTGCATATTTACGCGTTCTTTGGTCTTTTTATGCTTGAAAAAGAACACAATTTGCGTTATTTTTTAAATTAGAACTAATGTCACGGCGACCTCGTGTGGTGAACTTGTGAACTTGTTACAAAAGACTGTAACAGACTCCAAAAAACATTGGGACAGAGGCAAGTTTACCACTGGCACATACATTTTTGGGGAATTGAGGATACTAATTGTTGCAATAAGACATCTGCTCAACGGTCCCTGATCGTCGTTGTCTGATTCTCCTTTTCATTATGGGCCCTATTTTTAATAAGAGACAGATCTGGACTGAAGGCAAGCAGCACATCCACTGTAAGTGTAGAAACCACTGTTTTACCATGGTACCAGGCCTGGCATTGTCTTGCTTCTAATAAAAGATGTCATCTTGATGGCAGTCTCTGTACCAATAAGCCTCTACATCAATGGTACCTTAATGCAAGTCATCCATGCCGTTTTGACTGATGCACCCCATGATAGATGTTTGATTTTGTACTGGTTGCTGATGAAAATCTGGATGGTCTCTTTCGTCTTTGGGACGGAGAACTCGATGTCCCGACTCGATTTTCTTTCCAAAAACATGCTTAAATGTAGACTCATCTAACCACAGCTGTCGTTTAGATCATCTGAGATGAGCTCAGGCAGCATCACTGCATTGAACGTATGTATAGCTTTCTTCTTGCGTATCAAAAATTCAAAGTAGCATTTTTTGATGCATCCTCAGATATTTGTTAAGTGAAAATGGTTTTCCAAAGTACTCCTGAGCCCATGTGGCTGTATTTAACACAGTAGCATGACGTTTTCTCATGCATTGACATCTGAGGGCTCAAAGGTCATGCAACAGAGTTTTCCTGCCTTACGCTAGATTTACTGAGATTTCTCTGGATTCCCTAATTCTTGTCACAATATTATGTACGGCAAATGGCGAAAGACCTAAATACTTTGCAATGTTGCATTGCAATATCAGATTTGTTTGACAATTCTCTGATGAAATTTGGCACAAAGTGGTGAGCCATGACCAGTTTTTGCTTGTGAAGACTGAGGAGCTTCTCAATCACTATACTCTCGCCTAATAATCAATTCACCTGCTGACTGAATCAAAACAGTTTAACTTGGATATTCTATAATCTTTTCACTTTCATGTACAACAGATGGATCCTTTGCGGCCTTGCCCAGTGTGCCAGTGACAAAGATTTGTTTTTGTTTGTTTTTTAGATAAATTGACGCATTACACTTTTGAATGTATTGGGTACTAAAATATCTAATAATAGTGTTGGCATATCTTACTAATATGTCATTATGTATAGTTTATACTCTTTATTATATATAGAAATGGACCATGGTAAACATAATTATACAGTTTGTGTTTTAAAACCGTTTTAGGCAGTTTAATATAACTTTCAAAAAAGTCTAGTACAAATGTTACTGTCATTAATCAACGGCAGCTGTTATAGTTGCTAGGCGGAAAGAACAGGCCTTCGTGGCTAGACGTTCTTACTCTGTTGGCCAAACTATTGTTTTACCTTAACTTGTACATTCTGCCTTTTGTGAACAAATATTTGGTTAATATTCTAGTATTTTGTACTTTGACAGTCAGACAGGCGGATGCGCTTTTACCTTGGATTAAAAAAGTTTATAATTGTGATAATAACAACAAGTGGAAGGAGAATATAAAACTGAACTAAAGACAGTAGAAAACTTACTGATTATCCTTTCACCTTCAGATACTTTTTAAAGTTTGATAAAATACAACATCAGACTCATAATGTTAAATACCTTTATTATTGATTACCAAAGCTTTATGAAAAGATAAGAAAAATAAATGTTTTAATTGATTATACATTTTCAGTCAAAGCTTTCATTGTTTTAAAAATGCAATAATAAACTTAAAAAACTGTTTTTTAAAATATGTAAATAATAATACGCCAGATGAGTTGCATGAAATATACAAATCATTCCTTGGGCCCTATAGAAAGAGCTCTTTACGCATTTGGAGTCTTACAGCTCTCATATCAATAACTTGAGCAACACTAACATTTAGACTAGCGATAATACGTATAAGACATTATAAATCTTTCTGATGAGAATGACGAAACAGATGACACCGATCAACCACAAGAGGAGGCCAACACCAACACTGACATAGTTAAGGATGCAAGCCATTCTGGAGTTTCTTCTTGCTATTGGTTGATGTCCAAACATGTTAGCATCCCGAGTCTGTGAAAGTAAATTACAATAACAACACAAATATTGGTATAAAACCTTTCTTAAATGACAAATCAAATCGAAAGTCTTCACAGATCAGATTATAAACACATTAAGAAAACACAAAAGCAACTCTAACAGTGAACATCTAAGGATAAAATGAGAAATCAAATATATTATTGAATATTTGATTTAAACTGTGAAAAAAAATAATAAATCACAAAACACATCACAGTTTTTAAACATCAGTGATCGGTGTGCATTATAGCATTTCCACTATAGATTTTACTATCTTCAAATCTGTTTTTAAAAGTTTTTACAAATAGATTAACTGGCCAAGATAATGAAATAACTAAAACCAAGATAATAAATATAGCTGCAAGCAGTGATGACAGCCCCAAACCCCAATGCCACCGCCACCGCGGTGGCTTTAGGACAGCATTGAGCAGTTAGAGTGGTTAAATCTAAAATAACTATGTGAAAATAATTTGAATATCCCACATTTACTGCAACGAACTGATCATGAATCACAACAGCCACATCCATGAAATCAATAAATTGAGATAAATTTCAAGTCATAATTTTAAGATGCAAATGATAACTTCACACTCATTTAAGTTACCAATGACATAGGTCTCGTAATGATCGCACACACACACACACACACACACACACACACACACACACACACACACTGAGATCAGTGGATACTGTTACCCAGTTACAGTAGGCCTAGTTGATTTGTGTCATTTGCAGCTCAAAATTTTGTAAGTCCAGAAGTAATTATCTTAAGGTGTTTTTATATTTTTATTAACCTAATTACAAAATTAAACATCGTACATTTTTTAAAATATTGCTGATTACTTACACAGCATATGGTTTAGCTCCGCAGTACTTGAGCTAGCTCTTAATGCATTATACTCCTTCGCGCCTATTGCATTCTCGAAATTCTGGCCAGTTGGTAATACCTCCTAGAATATCTAAATTGACTGTTGACGGTAGATCCTTTTCCTATATATTGGCATCATGTTGAGAACATTTGGTGTGAATCATATGAAAGCAATTGGAGCATGCAATAGATAAAAATACAGAGTAATTTCTTCGCCTTATATTCATTGCCTAGCCACAGCCAAACCATTCAAGATATCAAAAAACCGCTATAGAATTTTATAGGAGTATATCAAATTCCAGTTAGTTCTATTAAGTGAACAATATAATACATTTAAATTTAATCTCATAAGGCATTCTGATTCACGGAAAATAAAAAATAGCTTTATTTAATGTTCATGTTTCTGTTCTAATGCAAACTAGTGGATATTTAAAGACTCATTTGAAACTTTCCGAAAACAATTGTCTTACTGAGATAAATTATTTGGTTGCATTTGGTTGCAGTTTCCATTATTTGGTTGCAATTATTTGGCTCAGCTGATACAGACAAAACCCTTTGTGATGACAGGGTGGGCATCAAATCATTCTCATACTGTTAGTGTCCCGCCTTACTTATTTTCACCTAATATCCACTGTGAAAAATAAAACATTAAATTGCATGCGTTAATTTATTTTGTTTGAATTTTTTACTGAAACATCCACACATAGCTAAGACCTCAGTTTAACATCTCATGATCTGAAGGACAGTGTTTTTTACAATGGCATTGCATGCCCATGGTTGAATCCACAATAGTTACCCCAGTTTTAGTAACGGAGGCTGCAGTTTCAGGACTGCAGTCAAAGGATGTCTTTTTTTACAGGACCTCCTGTAAATTGACAGTGCTTCACAAAGTTTCTTTTGATCCATATTCAAAACTAATGTTACTGGATGCCGCAAAACAGCATTTAATGCTATAGACCTATATGTAAATACAAATAAAACATAAAACGCTGAAATTTTAAGCATAGGTTCAAATAAAGTCAATATCAATATTGAATCGAAAGGCAAACTCGGAATGAGATTTGAATTCAATCTTGATCCATGACATTAAACGATCATTAAAAACACAAGATGTAAACAATAAAGGCTTTTTGAAGAATTTTAACACTGAAATCTGACCCTTGGTAAATATTCTACAACAATGGCCTCATTATTTTGACTGCTTTCTTTGAGTTCTACAAACAATTTAATTTAACAATATATGTCCTTATATTATTTTAACAAGTAGTCATTCATTTTGAAGAGTAGGCCTAGCTTTTGTAAATGTGCTATGTGAGGGGAGACAGGTGTATGAACCAGTACTTACAGTGATGGAGTAAACAAGAGCAGCGGATCCCAGAGGCATGCAGCAGCACAGCAGGGTAAAGATGGAGCAGCACAGGTAATCTGACTCTGGATTGAAGGGCACATTAACTGGAGGCTGCAAAGTGACCACAGTCTGCACCGGATTTGGCCCTTGTACGTACTGGACAGGTGCTGCCGGAGCTCCATAATGCTGCGCAGGTTGAGCTGGAACGCTGGGATAACTCTGAGAGGGAGGGAATCCAATAGAGTATTCTGGAGGCCTCTGCTGAAGTGGAAGTAAAGGCTGCCCTACTTCCTTTGGAGACTTTTGGGGATCCATGTTTAGCTTGGATTGAGTTTTTGTTTTTCCTGCAATAAGAAAGATCTGTATGTCTGTCTCTGGTGTGTAGTCAGGTGAAAACTGATCTGTTACATGCATCTCACATTCTTTTTGTACTGGTAGTGTGAGGCTGCTCACTGGAGAGCAAATGGGTGGAGCTTACATCTAGCTCCCCCTCGCTAGATGTCCATGCAGTGAATGTTGGCTATATTTTCATGTTTGTTCTGACACCTTCAGTTCTACTATTGGCGAGCTCACACATGTATTTTCATAATCAGTAAAATATTTTGTCGCGATATCGTCTTGTGTCATGTTTATTAAAAACAAACTGATTAAAAATGTAGACCCCATAAGCTATTTGAGCATAGGCTATGGCTTATTGAACTTAATTCTTGTAAAAACAGATGCTTTATTAATCAGTGATATCTGTGTATTTGACAAATATTGCATTCATCAGCTTTGATCAAGTATGCAAATGGAACACAAACTTTAATTTTTACTGGAAGCAGAAAGTGTCCTTAATGTTCTTGTCTGTGCTTCTGTCCTTGTGAAACGTCCTCTTTTGTGGCCCAAGTACTGAAACTGATAAAAATCCCGGATGTGTTCTTGACACGCCCATTTTACTGAGGATGCATCTTTACTGTCTATGGGATGCATCGGTTGGTAACTTGTGTGAACTTGACGGCAGAAATATCCCAGCATTCAATTCAGCATTCGAGGAGAGGCAGGTCAATGCAACGAATTCGTTTTTCTATACGTACGCTATGTCATCACTAAATTCATTTCTGAGAACATTTGATGCGAGAAATCAACTGTGTAGTTTTAAAATATTGGTATTTTTACAAAAATTTATGGCGAATCGAAAATGTGCTCAAACGTTTTCGGAAGTGAGAATCGCTGACCTGTTAGTTCTCCCAAAAATGTTAATGATTTGCCATGATTTGCTCACCCTGAAGCCATCCTTGGTGTATATGACATTCTTCTTTCAGTCAAATACAATCCGAATTTTTATTAAAAAATGTCCTTTCTCTTCCAAGTTTATACTGGGAGGACACTGACATGGTTTAGGTGTAGCCTACCTTTGTGCACTCATTCAAGCTGGCTCTAAAAAATAGTTACACACAACGAGCAGTTTGGAAAGTTTGTTGGCACACCAATTTTAGAAATGTCCTAATGTGGTTTTCGAGAGATTGCTGCTCCATACATGCAGAGTAGCTGGATGGATAAGTTCATTCTGGTTTCAATTTTGATTCTGTTGGTTGTAATCGCACGACACAGGAGAATAAAGCAAACATTTATTTATTAATCAACATACACAAAGGAGTTCACAGTATAACTAACATGCAATCACATGAAATAGAGATATACCAGACAATGAACTGAGGAAACAAAGGTCTTAAATACACAAGGATAAATAATGATTGACAGGTGAATTTAATCACTAACCAAGGAACAACCCCCAGAAACAAACACACGGGAACAAAAAAGACAACTAAATCAAACATAATCCTGACAACATAAAAACACAGTTGCCCACAAGATATTTTAAAACAAACAAAAAATGATAGAGGTAAAGAAAAAAAATATTGCAAATGGATTGTCTATGGGTTTGCTGTAAAATAAGATGGCATTATAGAAATTGTATTTTGATTTTTGAATATATATATATATATATATATATATATTATGTATGCCTATATACATTACACAAAAATCAATTGTGTGTGTGTATATGTATATCTAATATTATATATATATATATATATATATATATATATATATATATATATATATATATATATATATATTGTATATCTAATATTATATATATGAAGAGTTCAGATGCAAAAGCCTCTAAATGCCATTTGAAATGTTCTTCTTTAATGATGATTTTTATCAAACTTGTATATTTAAGTTCAGTAATTTCACTTAAATAACAATTAATAGGTAATTATCATTGCCATTTAAGTGAAATTACTGAACTTAAATATACAAGCTTGATAAAAATGACCATTCTAGAAGAAAATTTCAAATGGCACTTAGAGGCTTTTGCATCTGAACTCTGAACTCTTATATATATATATATATATATATATATATATATATTTATATGATGTTAGAAAAAATATTATATACATCAGGTAACCAAGTTAGCTAACAACGTTAGTGAAGTGTTGGTCACGTAAGCTATCGCTGCAATTAACCTATTATCTTCCAATAAACATTTACTAGATCTGGCTACATAACATATAACTACAGACTAGATTCACGAGAGGTCGGCTAATGTGTGTAAAAGTAAAAATTACAGTAATTTCATTAATTTACCAGCGAGAGGACATTGGAAGCACTGAAAATGAATGGGGTTCAATGCTGGAACTATCAGTGGTTGGAACTAATGGGCGGGTCCATGACACGCGTTACTTCCGCATTCCTGAGTTACAATGGCGGTCTACGGGACTGTCATAACTCTCTGAATACATGGCTCTGGGTCTGGCATGCCAGGCTAGTCCTGAGCAGTTGGCATCTCGAATCTGTGAAAAATATCTGCGAATCTGTGTATGAAACATAATGTTAACCACTTCTTTCTCGTTCTGAATTTCTTTGAGCCAATGGCACAGGGGTGGGCGAGGTGGGGGGCTGGACTCCACTTTGTGGATGAGTTTTCTTATAGTTCAACATTTAATATTTAATTTCCAATTGATGAATTTATTGACAGAATTTCTTTAGTTTTACATATATTATTTTAACCTTTTTTGTTTTATCTTTCAATAAATTGTCAATAAAATGTATACAACTCAAACATTAAAAGACATTTTACATGTTTTGATTCATTGTTATTGACTTTTGTTTAGATATTTTTATCAGTATGGATGCTTCACAACGAATTGTTCTGATGTTTGAAAAAACATTTACTCAGAAACATAAAAACTACAAATATCAGCATTAAAATGATAATAATTGTAATTATAATAGGTTACATACTTAAAGTGTGAGTAAAATTTACATCAAATAGAGAAGGTTTACATCAAATAGAAATTTTACTTAATTGAGTGTAGCCTTTTGATTATTATTTTTTTTTTTTGCAGTGGTTTGTAATTATTATTTTTTTTTGACTACAAGTGTAAAAAAAAAAAAACTAATATAAAAAATGTAATCTATAAAACATGTATTGCTGTTGAGGGGGTCTCCAAGTCAAGTCAAGTCAAGTCACATTTATTTATATAGCGCTTTTCACAATACAGATTGTATCAAAGCAGCTTCACAGTGATAACACATCCAGTCCCACACATCTTTCTCTAGAACTGAAAGTCATTTACAGGAAGCCAAAAAACTTGACCACAGACTACACGTATTGTGGTCACACATTGGCCTACTTTTGAAGCATGACAGTTAGCAAGAATGCAAGAATTACTACCTTGTATTGTTGAAGCAACTTGTTTAAAATGCTAACATATTTGTCTGAACAGATGAAATTTTAACAGGCCTGTTTAGTGGTCAGCTGCATCTCTTTATTAAGTTATGGGATTATTTAAGTGAACGTTATGTGATAGAGCAATTTACTTTTTAAGTGCTGCATGTCAACCATTTTCACTAGAATAATTTAAGAAGTGTGAGCAGGAGAATTTTGTATTTTAAGATAATCCACTGGAAGCCAGTGGAGATCATACAAAATTGGGCTGATATGAGCTTGGTATGGGTAAGTATGGGTATGGGTAAGTAGCAGCAGAGTTTTTAATATATTGTAATATGGAAATGGGGCTGGCAGGTAAACCACTGAAAAGGCTGTGATAATCAAGACGTGATGAGACAAATGGATGGATGACAGTTGCAGTATTTGTTTTTTGTGAACAAATATTTGGTAAATATTATAGTATTTTATACTTTGACAGGCAGATGCACTTTTACCCTTGGATTAAAAAAGTTTATAATTGTGCGTATATAAAACTGAACTAAAGAACACTCACTGATTATCCTTGTACTTTCAGATACTTTTTAAAGTTTGATAAAATACAACACCAGACTCATAATGTTAAATACATTTATTATTGATTACCAAAGCTTTATGATAGAACAAAGATAAGAAGAAATGTTTTAATTGATGATACATGTACAGTCAAAGCTTTCATTGTTTTTAAAAAAAATAATGAACTTTAAAAAAAATGTGTTTTAATTATGTAAATAATAATAAGGCAGGTGAGTTGCACGAATCATTCCTCACTGGCCCTATAGATTAGGCTCCTTATGCATTTGGAGTCTTACAGCTCTTATATCAATAACTTGAGCAACACTAGTAACATCTAAAAGCAGACCACCAAATTGTGTTTTCAATTGTGTATCCGTTTGTGTAATCAAAAAATGTGTTCATGTTTGTATAACTTTCTTTCATCCTACCAATATTTCTTACACTTTTTGTCTAGTTATGGAGTTTTAAAATTGTTGCAGCAATAATGATATAGATGACACCGATCAACCAGAAGAGGAGGCCAACACCAACATTGACATGGTTAAGGATGCGAGCCATTCTGGAGTTTCTGCTTGCTATTGGTTGATGTCCAAACATGTTAGCATCCCGAGTCTGTGACAAGTAAAATTATGATAATATTACAAATATTGGTATGAAACCTTTCTTAAATGACAAATCAAATCATACAAAAGCAACACAAAAGCAACTCTAACAGTGAATAACTCAGAATAAAACGAGAAACCAAATATATTGAATGCTTGATTTAAAGTGGCCTTAAAAATCACAAAACATATCACAGAGTTTTTAAACATCAGTGATTGGTGTGCATTATTAGCCTGGCTCTGCTCTCCGTCCTGTGTACTTCCGTTTGATTTTCATTCAAATCTGTTTTTAAAAGTTTCTACACTTAAATTAACTGGCCAAGATAATAAATAACTAAATTCATTCTAAGCTCATTCACTCTGCGTGATTGTCACTCACGTGAACGACCACCGATTTGCCTGAGATTTCGGGCATTTGTCAGGGATTTCTCAAAACATGTTGGCGAGTCAAAATCAGCCTGAACTCTGGACTTCTCTGTGCATGCTCTTTAAGGTGACCATAGATGGAATAAGGAATAAATGCTTTATAATTTATTATTTAGAAGATAATAACCCACTAACTTCCAGTTTCCCTTTTTGTAATTCATTTAATCCGTTAATGGCAACGTTTAAGATATCCAATAACCATATCGCTAATCTGTAGGCTATCTCACGACCAATTCGTACGAATTCAACGAATGATTAAAAAGTGGCTAATTCGTACGACCTCGCTCGTACGAATTCGTACGATTTGTCTAAACCGAGGTGATGGGAGGTTTAGGAGCGGGGTAAGGGGTAGGTCATTCGTACGAATTCATACGAATTGGCCAATTCGTAAAATATGTACGATTTAGCAAAATCGTAGGCTACTATTCGTACCAGTGAGGTATGAATTGTTACGAATTATAGCCACCTCGTAAAATTCGTACGAATTCCCGTGAGATCAGGCTGGATATATCAGTGTCACTGGGTATTATAGGGACATGCTCCTATATCCTTTCTAAATTCTACGCCCCTCTATTTTATTTTAAGGTTTTTTTTTTTTTTTTGAAGAGTTGGCCTATCATTTGTAAATAAACATGCAAGGGGAGACAGGTGTATGAACCAATACTTACAGTGATGGAGTAAACAAGAGCAGCGGATCCCAGAGGCATGCAGCAGCACAGCAGGGTAAAGATGGAGTAGCACAGGTAATCTGACTCTGGATTGGTCAGTGGAGTGAAGGACACATTAACTGGAGGCTGCACAGTGACCACAGTCTGCACCGGATTTGGCCGATTTACGTACTGGACAGGTGCTGCCGGAGCTCCATAATGCTGCGCAGGTTGACCTGGAGTGCTGGGATAACTCTGAGAGGTAGGGAATCCAGTAGAGTATCCTGGAGGCCTCTGCTGAAGTGGATGTATAGGCTGCCCTACTTCCATTGGAGACTTGGAATGTCTGTTTTACCTGCAATAAGAAAGATCTGTACGTCTCTGGTGTGCAGTCAGGTGAAGACTGACCTGTTGCGAGTGTCCTCATCTGATTATAATAGATGGATTGTGTTGTAAGTTTTTTTACAACACTTTTTTGAAGTTATTTTTTAAATCTTTCCTTTTCTGGGTTCTGCTTCCTCCTGTCAGGTTCCTGTTCATCAAATCCCGATTTGGGTATTTGAATAACAATTTTACTTATGTTGAAGTTGGTTAATCACTAGGAACTAACAGTCTTTGTGGTATTTTTTGCTGTTTTCTTGCCTGAGGAAATTCACTTATTTATTTGTAGGTGTAGGTGTTAAAGGGATAGTTCACTTTGAAATTAATTTTTGATATGTTTTAGCTTACCTCAAGGGCATCCAAGATGTAGGTGTCTTTGTTTCCACAGTATTTTCAATTTTGAGATTTTTCAGTCAAACCGTTGTTGTCTATCAGTCATACACTGGAGGATATGGGGGTCCACAAAAAAGCATGCACAGAGAAGTCAAAAACATGATTTAATGACTCGTAAATGTAAGGACACATTGATGGCCTAAGACACGAAACAAGTGTTTTTTGTGAGAAAACGAACAGTATTTATATCGTTTTTACCTCGTGTAATCACAGTGACGCCCAAATGATCTGTATCAGTTGTTCAATGTCCAACTGAACCGAACTGAATCCGTTCAATGTTACGCCGGAAGTGATCGCTTGCGTGTGACGTCACTCAATATTTACACGGAGATTTCGGAAGTTTTACCTTTTACTAAACATATATACCGAAATCGTCTTCCATTGCGGTTTCCCATATATCTAAATATGTTTATTGAAAGGTAAAACTTCCAACATCTCTGTATAAACAAAGAGTGACGTAGGCGCGCAAGCAATCACTTCAAGCGCATGCTCAGACCGAAGCGCCCGTGCCTTCAGATCATTTTGTCATGGCTATGATTACAAGAGGTAAAACGATAAAAATATTGTTCATTTTCTCACACAAACCGCTCGTTTCGTGTCTTAGGCCATCAATGTGTAGGCCTACTTACATGTACGAGTCATTAAATCATGTTTAATTTTGACTTCTCTGTGCAAGCTTTTTGGTGGACCCCCTTAGCCTCCAGTGTATGACGGATTGACAACAACGGTTCATTGGTTTATTGACAGTTTCTTAAAAAATATGCACAGTAATAAAGAAAAACATAACAGACAGACAAGTGTATAAAAAGTACTGTTTTTCATGATAAAATTTAATTGGCCAATCAAAGCTTACATTGTTTTAAACATACCATAATCGGCGTTTGTTCAATGATTGAGCAAATAACATTTCAAATGCAGAGAGCCAAATCTATTCGTAATTTGCCATATTCTTATAGACCATAACATTGTAGACAATCAGCAATGCAGTGACAACAAGCCCAATAGCAACGGCGGTATGATTCAGAATGCGTGCCGTTTTGGAGTTCTTCTCTGCTAATGCTTGCTGTCCCAAGTAGTTGGCATTTCGAGTCTGTGAAAACAATAGTAAAACATAATGTTAACCACTTCTGCTCTCATTCTGAATTTCAACCGCCTCTTCTTATTCCCCTACACCGCTCCAAAGTTTTCCAACAAATATCATGATTAAATGGTGGATAAAATTGTGTCATGTAGGCCTATAATATAATTACAAAAAACATCCCCCTCTGAAACGTCCATGCTTACAAAGTCAGTGCATGAAATCAGTCCTGCACCCAGTGTCCTCTTGTACGTAACATTGTCAGGGTCTGAATTTGTTTGATATTGATGCAATCCTAAATATTTTCACTAGATAAGAACTCGCAGAACTTTATGGAGGGACGTAACATTTCCCAAACACAAAAAGAATCGCATCTCGTAAAAGAAGCGCAGCCAATCACCACACGCTGGGCCAGCTAACCAATCACAGCACATTTTATATTTGTGGAGAGAGGAGCTGTAATAATGTAAAATAGGCTATGTGAAAAATAGTATTTTTGAACAATCAAGCATCAAAACATATTCTAGTACACCCCAAAAACAAAATCAAGACTTTGTAACCTGGTGGACCTGTACAGATTACTTTTATGATGGATGAATGCGTTTTTTGGGGGCTTCAAAATCTAAGGTACAATTTCCTTTCAATATAAAGCTGGGAAGAGCCAGGATAGTTTTTAATAACTAAGATTGTTTTGGGCTTCAAGAAGAAAGTCATTTACACCTAAGATGGCTTGAAGGTAAATAAATTGTGGGATCATTTAATTTTTGGGTGAACTAAAACTTTAAGGAAGGAGATTAAACTAAAGTAAGTGATACAAAAGCCATTTAGTTGCAAACAATTGAATGGATCAAGACTGGTTTCATGTGTTTCTGCCCTTCAAAAAACTTGGTTTATATTATTCCTCTCCTGAATTCAATTAGGTTTTTATTTGCTAACGTAGGCTACTTTTATTATGCACATTGATAAATGAAATGAAGAGGTTCGATCGTAGACTAATTTTAATGGATGTGAAACGCAGCAGGCAGTCGGTCAGAACTGTATAAGATGAGGCTTGGTTGAACAGACACACCAGGCAGGGTTCAAACTTCACTTATTTACTGAAGAGCTGGTTGATTTACATATGGGGTATGTAGGTGTGGTTTTGGTATGTACGCACACAGCGACTCAATGTATATGTAAACCAGCTGAATAATCGTCGAACACTACAGATTAACTAAACTGAAACTGTCAAGTATCTTAACTAATAATTATGATGCGTCTTCTCTCTCCGACTGAATCCACCTCAGCACCAATTCACCTCAGCACGAATGTCACTATGGCAACCTTGTACTCTATGATTGGTTGAAATCGTCCAGGACATTTAAAGGTATCCGGGCCTTTTGTACAGCCGCCCCCGAATTCAAGAATTGAATTCGATCATCTTGAAAAGGCCTACATTTTGTTCTGGTCATCCTCAGGTAGAGCTGGAAGCTGGATGAGGCGAGCCGCAATCCGCGTGTAAGTCCTACCCTTAACATCTACGCTGGCTGTCCGGACCCGCCCATCGGTGCCTGGAAACACCTGAGTGATCTTGCCTACTGGCCAGAGAGCACGAGGAAGTTGGGGGTCGACGATCATGACCACATCTCCACTCTGCAACGACTTCCTCTCAGTCTGCCACTTCTGGCGAGCTTGGAGACTAGGTAAGTAGTACTTGAGAAAATGTCTCCAAAAATGGTCAGCCAGCAGTTGGCTGTGGCGCCAGCGCCTGCGACTCAGGATCTCGGACTCTTGGTAGACTACCTGAGGTAAGGATGCGTCTCGACGGCCGATTATGAAGCAGTATGGGGTTATTGGATCGGGGTCGGCCACATCCGAGGAGGTGTATCCAAGAGGCTTTGAGTTGAGAATACCTTCAACCTCGATCAGAACTGTCTTAAGACTTCCTCAGTGACAGTCTGAGTCCCGATGGTCACTCTGAGGGCTGTTTTGATCGAGCGGATCTCTCTCTCCCAGCAACCGCCGAAGTGTGGGGCACCTGGCGGGTTGTAAACAAACTTTATCTTCTGGCTGGCGAGGTGACTCTGTAGTGCCTCTTGGAGGGTGGCGAAAGAGTCATCTAATTCCCGTTCACCTCCCTTAAAGTTGGTGCCTTGGTCGCTCAATAACTCGTACGGTTTCCCTCGCCGGGCGATGAACCGTCGTAGGGACATCAAGAACGAGTCAGAGTCGATACTGGTGAGAAGATCAAGATAGACGGCCCTGGTGGTCATACACTTGAAGATTATGCCCCACCTCTTCTCGTTCCGACGACCGATCTTAATAATGAAAGGCCGAAACAGTCCATGCCAGTCGAATAGAAAGCTGGACGAAAATATCTCTGTCTGGTCAGGGGTAGGTCGGCCATGAGGGGAATTTCTGGACGACCTTTCCATTTCCTACACTGCGTACACTGACGCTGGTATCGGCGGACAGCTTCTCGACCTCTCAGAATCCAGTATGACCTTCGGATCTCTGTGAACAGTCTCTCTGTTCCGGGGTGACACAATCTCTCATCATAATCCTTGATAATCAACTCTGTAGTAGGATGTCGAGGGTCAAGGACCACTGGATGAGCAACATCTGCTTCTAGTACCTCACAATGTCGGAGACGGCCTCCTACACGAATCAATCCAGTAGCAACGTCAAGCTCAGGGGAGAGTGAAACAATCTGCTAGAGGCTGACACTGGTTTTATCGGACTTCAGAAGTTTCAACTCATCAGGAAAGGACTCTGACTGAGCTTGGCGAAGGACTGCATGTTGAACGTCTCTTTTGAGATCAGCACTGGAAGAGTAGGCCGCCCGTGAAGCTTCTGTCCATAGGCATTCAGACACTCTGACAGTGTGTTATAGTGAGGTGACTGAAGTGAGTGTGCAGTTGTGGTCACTAACCCAGAGAAAGCTGACTGTCTCAACTCACTGCTTGACTCTTCGAACGACAGAGGGGCTGCCCGGGCCAACTAGCGGTGGCAGCTTGAGGAAGGCTTGTCCCTGGCTCCAACGGCTCCCTGTAGCAGGTCACGTAGAGGCTTGCCTCGAGTGATGTCATCCGCTGGATTGTCTGCAGATCTGACATAGCGCCAGTTGGCTGAAGCTGTTATCTCTTGGATCTCCGCCACCGTGTTCCTTACGAACACCTTGTAGCGACTGAGCTGAAGTAACCATGTGAGCACGGTGGTGGAGTCTGACCAGAGCGTAGTGGAGTGAATGGGAATTGTAAGCTCTGTATTCAGGAGTTGGGAGAGTTGTGCTCCAGTGAGAGCGGCACACAGCTCTAAGCGGGGTATAGATTGCTGCTTCCGGGGCAAACGCGGATCTGCGGCGACAAAGATGACTTCCACTTGACCTTTCTTTGTCCTCTGTCCGCAGATAGGCCACGGAACCATACGCCTGCTCAGATGCATCACAGAAAACGTGGATGTCGTATCTACAGGACTGGTGATCCATCTGTGGAGCTGACATAGCACCGAGGTAAGGATATCTTCTCTATCCCACTCAACTCTTTCTCCCACTCTAACCATGAAGTAATGAGTTCTTCAGGTAACTGCGGATCATCCCACTCGCGCTTCTTATTCCATAATCGCTGGACAATACCTTCG